TTGTCAATTTGTATAGGCTTATTTTTGGCCTTATAATTTACTCGGTTATCAGAGCAATTCTTCCGTTTATATACGTGGTTATTCAGTGAACGTTTTAAGTTCACTATTTGGAATTTATCAATTGATTATAATGTTGTATTAACCATAACTGTTTCRTGTAAGTTATTTTTGAACACAAATACGTGCGCTTGCCCACATATTATATTTTATTTTGTATGTAAAATATTCGCCCCCCCCCTAATCTCGGGCTGAATCCGCGCCTGATTGGTACCTATATAAAATTATTTCATAGTATATGGACATTTATTTATGTAATGATATATTATACATGTATAATACAGCCATACAGATAATTATATTTATATATATTGTGGTAGCGTGTGATGTACCTACATGTCGTTGTAGACGTAGTAATATTCGAATAGTATTTCACAGTCCCTAAAATATCCAAATTTTCGTACTGCACACATAGTCCCAAATCAGTCAAATCTAAATTATACATAGCACCTATCAATTAATAATAGTATGCATTTACAATAAATAATTTTATTTAAATAAAGTAGAACCTCTATTTAACAAATTTAAAGGTTTTTTGAAATAGAGTTTTTGTTGAAAAAAAAAAAAAWTTTTATATAAAACTCATTTTAAGTGTACAAAATGCATGAAAATAATAATACATAATATCAGTAAATAAATAAAAATAAATTTAAATTACCTATATTAAGTATTTAAATTATAGTTTTTTTTTTTATTCTTTGTGGTAGAAGAACTTATACTGCAGATGATATCCTGTATCAATATTGAATATAGTTATTTTAAAATTTTATAGAATATTATTCTAAGGGTTTAATGTGAAAAATACACTTATAAATTTCGTACTACACACAATTTTAGGGACTGGTATTTCAGTATTTGCTAGGTGTTACTGTCGTTAATTCATTATATTTATTGAATATTTATATTAATAAATAATACGGGAAAGAATTATTCTATAGTTAAAAGTGTATTGATCATTGTAAGTACCTACTAAGTATATACATACTGACGATTTGAATACATAATTTGTTGAAGAAGTTATTCAATTYAAAAAAATTACTGAATCATTTGGCCGTAATGATTTATTTATGAATGGAGTGTTAAAAAAACTACCTAACTTATTCTCCATTAAAAGCTACTTTCCTAAATGTTCTTATAATTTTTAGAATCTTTGCTTGTATGCCTTGTACMAATGCAAGTGGTGAACGATCATTTTCAGTGTTTCGTGGCGTTAAAAATTATTTAAGATCCACCTTATTGAGGCAAGATAAAACTTTTTCACTTTCATTGCTGTCAATAGAAAATAAGATGCTTAGAAGCCAATGCTTCTAATTGATTGGTCAAATATAATAGAAGAGTTTATAAACAAAAAAATTAGAAAAAAAAATTTAATTTCTATTTTTCAATATTTGTCATTAAATTGTTTTATATAYATACATATAAAATGTAATAAYATTTTATTGTTAATAAAGGTATTTTTATTATTACAAGTCAATGCTTTATAATATATAGGCATTCCATAATTAACTAAAAATATAGGAGTTACTTACTATTTATTATTTAATGAAATATATAAATTTACGGAGATTGTAAGAACGGGTCTAAGTGTTTTGATTCATAAAAATTTAAGAATTTAGGACGAGTAGTTAATCAGTTATAAGCATTTAAAGTTTAGACAAGCGAAACAACTTGAAACAATGTAAAAAAAATATTTT